TGAAAATCAGGAATAGTCGACGATTACTCAATGGAAAGTATCTTTAGAAATTTGTTTTTGCCGACAGTGCGCGAATTGTCATATCTGGGTTAAGTGTCCAAGTTGAAAAATACGGCGTTTAAATCCCCACCACGCCAAATTGTTATAAATCGTCCCTGCGAAGTCGCTTTGGGTTTTTGCAGCCTCTCGAATTCGGCCATGAATGCAGCCTTTGTCGTCGTCCCATTCCGAATTTATGACTTCTATTTAATTTTTGCTGCCGATATTTCAGCCTTACATCTGAATTACGTGATCAATACAAGCCGGAATAATCAGAAAAACCGGTCGCTCCATTAATAGACGAGAAAATATGGATTTCAGTTCCGTCTCATCAATCCCGCTATTTGTTTCTCGGAGCCAACATGAATTGCCTCCGTCGCGCGAACAAACAGACTTTTTCTGTCGTCGAGTGAATTAAAATCCGGAATGGCAGAAATTCCTCAATAACATGGCGAAATTTCGCATTCAGTTTTCAACCGGAACAGTTTTTCGTCATGCATTACCAATTCCAGAAAACAAAGCTTTATCGAATTTCCTGTCGGCATAATCCGGGAAATAAAAACTAACAACGCGAAGATTGAAACTTCGCTTACTAAAATATGCATCGACTTTTTGGTAACGCGAATCGCTTGTTTTAGTTGGGTGAGGCGCATTCAATAATGGACGGCCGCTGGGAGTCGAGCTCATTAAAATTACCGAGTTGATACTGTACTCTAGTACCTATGTGTGTACTTTATGAGGTTAGTTGTTTTAACAGTTGTAGTTGAGGTAAACTCGACCACGTCTTATTTCCTTGATTGAATCGCACATTTCAGAATTAATGTACGTTTTCGTCGTCTTGGCAAATACGAGCGATAAATACACATTTCGCCCTTTTTTTATTTTATTTATTTATTATGAAACTTTCCCGGCTTGAGCCATTTTTCTTGTTAGTGAAAAAGCGCCTTTTTTATCTCTCGACGGTCCTTTGCCCCAAAGAACTGAAAATTCGTCAAGGTCAGGCGGGAGCTTTCGGCCACATCGAAGCGAAAAGCACGCTTGGGAAATTATGGGGCGATTCCCATATATCCCGGAAAGTCCATGAATTTTCGTTAACAGGCAGGGGTTGCCTCCGTTGTTTTGTTGTATAATTCGGATGGTGGGAATTTTTGCCGGTGATAATTGCTAAGCAGCGTGAAACCCACGAAATGGAAAACTGTGGAGCGGAGCTGCTCTATGTGGGTTCTTAAGAAGCTTACACCATCACCAAGGAAGCGAAACGGATTAAGCTTTTCAGGTGGTTAGGGTGGAAGAAAGCCCTAATCCGGAGAAATACACTAATTATGCTCACGTCGATAGAAGTAGTGGGAAGCTGTTAATCACTCCGATATGAAGCTCAACTTCTCCCGAAAAAATGTTTCCGGGATGTGTAAGCTCACATTAAATTCCGTCTGATTGCTAAAGTGTCCTGTTTCCTAATCACTAGAGAGCGGAAAATATGCAGCAAAATTTTGGGAAATATGATCATATGATATGCACGAAATTTATGGAAATATGCAGTAACTTTCTTAATATATGCAGAGATATGCATTTGCATATGCTCCAACAATTAAAAAAAAAGCTTAATAAGTGAACTAAATTGATTTACAAATTACAAAAACAGGTTTCCGTTTTATTACAAAAAATACATAAATCATAAATATTAATATTCTTATACTAAAAATTAAATATAAACAGAACAAATCGAAAGATAGTAGTAATCGACTATTTAATTACTATTTTAGTAACAATTTATTTTTAAATATTTTTCGAAATATTGAACAAAAAGTGATTCTAAAGTATGTATTTGTAAATAGAAAAACTGTGTACCTACTACGTCCACAGATGTAAAAATAAATACCGGTTTAGAGCAGACGCGACAAAACACAGTTGCTTCTTGAAGAATAAGTTCAGGAAAAGGTTTAATCCATAAATTAATTTGAGTTATCTTCGACATATTGACACACCTGTATCGCTTTAAATGCCTCAATGCAAACTCACGATGAAAAATAATAGGATAACGTCCCTTTGACCACCACAAAACATGTCATTAATGCACTGAAGTAACGAACAAAAATATTGGGAATGAACGTAAGGCTTGTCCCAGAAAGTTTTGCACCATATTTAAATTCTGCTATTAAAGTTGTTTAATTGACATTTGAATTAAGTAAAATATATATGCTACAGTAGGCCATAGTCTACACATCTGTCATTAGTTTTTTTGTTTTAATCAGTCGGCTCTCAAAATGTCGTCAAAAAGAGTTAGTGTAAGACAACGAATTTTGCAAATTTGGTCCGAACATTGTCAAAAATCTTTAAATTTAATAGTGAAAGAGGCTAATGCGACGCAGTGGACGGTAAAACGGACCATTGATAAATGTCAGAGACAAAGAAAAATAATTTTTTTTGCAAAAATTTGGCCGCAAAGTTCTTGTTTGGCAAGCAATTTGCCAATGTGGAAAGAGAAACAGGATTTTTTTGTTGAAAGCAGCACCAACACTGATTTTTGTGTCCGAAAATGCCTTCAAGCTCGATTACTACCTTTTTTAAGAGCTCACCCTGGTTCTACTTTCTTTTGGCCAGACCTAGCTACTTTGCATTACTCACAATTAGCGAAGAATTGGTTTGCGCAGATTAGAGTGCAATATCCAGACAATGAAAATAACCCCTCAAACTTACCTGAACTCCGGCTTGTTGAAAGATATTGGGTTCTAGTTAAGGGAAGAAGGGAAATGCGCCAAAAATTTTGAATTCTTCAAAAAATTGTGGATGATGGGAAGTAAAAAAGTTTCTAGTGCAAATTTGCAAAAAATAATGCGTCGCATTAGATCTAAAGTGAGATTATTTTCCCGTAAGCCGTTAATTTTAAACAAGTAATTAAGAAATTCATAATTTTACTGCTGTTGTAGTATACTGTAAATAAATTTGATTCGATTTGTTGAGACGTTCTTATTTTATTCAAAAACAAAATATATGCAAAAGTTTCTGGGACAAGCCTTATTTCCAAAAGGAATTAGAGCGCGAATTTACCTGCTGGATGGTTTAACACCCAGTGGTTTCTCCAAACTACCATAAAACCCAAACCTTTCCTAGTTATTTGAAGCTCAGGAAAATATTTGCTATATGATGAATGAAATTTCGACTTTCTAGATATAGTCTTCCCAGTTTAAAGTGGTTTTTATGATAGGTCCATTGTGTCGAAGCTGACGATGGGGACAATGAAGTCATTCCCTAGCCATAAATAAGAACGTGGTCGGTTTCTTTGCAAGGCCGTACTTTGTTATTTAATATTGTCCGTCGTGGGGTAATAACGAAGTGATAATGTTAATTATCTTGTCATAAAAACCGCTTTAAACTGGGACTACAATAAATGCCGATAGAATGATAATCTTTTTTTTTTCAAATTACCACAAAAATGGATAAAAATGCAAAATATGCACCGGTTACGTGAAATATGCAGCAGAAGACAAATATATGCAAATATGCAATTTTTTTATAGCTGTATTCATTTTTAATTAGCATGATTCGTTCACATATTAAATATCAAGACTTATATGCAAAAAATAACGGATATGCAAATTTCATAAAATCCGCTCTCTACAGTAATCACTAATAAAATTTATATTTAGAGTGAAAAATGTTTTTGCTTTGAAGTTTTTAATTCTTGTTTGGCTGAGTTGTTTTAAACCACCCCTTCTGCAGAACTACCCCCTCCCGGTCCGCGCCTCATAAAAATTCTTCCCTAAACTGTTCCACTTTTCCCTGCAGCAACTAATCTACAAACAAAAAACACGGCCGCTGCGAGCACGCCCCAGAAGAGAAAACAGCGAAAAGAATTTTAATTTTATGACCCGGAATATTATTTACAACCCCCGCCCCAATTCTCATCGTCATCTGCAGCAATGATACAAAATGGAAGCGAAGTGGAGCGGAGCAAAAAAAGCGTCGCTCACAAAAGGGAAGGGCAAGCAGGGAGAAATATCCGAAGAGCAGCACCGTCTAGAGTGGTTATAAAACAAAGAACTTGACACTCATTTACGTTTAATTGTGTTGGAAAGTTCCATAACTCGTTACAGCAAGTTAAATTGTCTCAGTGCTAAGAACGACCCATCTAGATTAAAACGTCATAAAATACCCTTTATCGTTCTCTCCGATGCCGAAAATTCAAATGTTGGAGCAGGTCGAGGGCGGCGATCGATCACGTGATGCGAACGTCACGCGGTTAAGCCGCCGGTTAATATTCCGTATTCCGGGACGAAAGTTTCGCAGTTTTACATTTTATTAAAATCGAGCTGCAGTCCGGGGGCGGTTTGTTTGACTCCGTGCACGTGACGTTTTTACAAATCGTGAAGAAGCCAAGTTTAAATTTAATAGCAGAATTTGTAGCTCAGCGTAATTGACTTGTCCGGCGAACTAATACAACTTTGACAATTTAATAAAATATTCACGCCGCCCCCGATAAATAACCGACAATATTTTCGAGCGCAGGTGCCGGCGCGGAACTTTCGATCCGGGCCATTTCCATAAATAATTATTTATTTCTATTAATTCCCATAAACCCTCGTCAAAAATTAATCCCCCGTTAAAACTTCCCCGCTTTCCAAACTAAAAAAGTGAAGCCTCCGAAGACTATCTCGGCCCCGCCCCCCATGAATAATATACCCGAGAAGTTGTAGCGACCGTCTCCAGCAAGTGTCACAAACTTCGCCCCTATTACATAAATTTATTATTTACGTTATTTAGGGGCGTGTAGTGTGAAACCCCGTGTAAGTGAAAGAGCGAGCGGCACACCTGCAGCTCACCGGAAAAGCTTTTATGTAGTTTCCTTTTATGATATTATTTACAGCAGTTTTCTTGTAATGGAGGGTTGTAATGCGATTTTGCGGCCTCGAGGCAATTTATGCGATTTAAATCATCGAACGGGCTGGAAACAATTTCCTCACCGTTTAGCACGTGCACGATAACCGTCTTGGGGTTGGCGTTCGAGGGGTTGCATGTGTACTTCCCGGAATCGGAATCTCTGGCCCTCTGGACGAGCAGGTAGCTGAACGTGATGTCGCCCTTCTCGGTGATGACGCTCACGCCGCCGCGGGGCGAGTCGTAGTTGATCTCCTGGAAAAAAGTAGGTCGTTCAAATATTGCAAAAAAACAACAGATCTAAGTTTAAACCTTGCGTATCCCAGAACTGAGCAAAATGGAACGAGAAACGGTTTATTAAGCGGTACGTGAGAAATGTGCTCTATGATTCTGCAAAATTCCGCGTCAGGTTCTAACAGTGGAACAAAGCGGTTATTTCCTTTCCTCGTCCTTAAAATCACTGCAGCTTTCAGTTTTGTCTGAAAGCTTACTATCTTTTATTACGCTTTTAAATCAAATTTTTCTCTCATGCAGCGTGTAATCATTTTGAAATTCTTACATATGACAGCTAAAACTAAAAGTGAACAAATTAATCCAGTTTGGTACAGGACTCGCGAAATTGCCAGAAATAATGAAGTTTACGTGAGTTTCAGGATTACGTTTATCGGATATACTGCTAGGCAAATTTAGTTTAACGAGATCTATTGTTCTCCTTGAATATCGTAATTTCGTTTCCAACTAGCCAGACTGATATTTATTTCAGTTTTAGCGTTTTTATAAGGGGCAATTTGCATGGGACTTCTGTCGAGTGAAATCGAGATGCCGTTAAAACTTGGGGAAGATTCGAGTTTCAGAAAATTACGCAAGGCAGTGGTTACGTTAATAGCGGAAAATAAACAAAGTTTTACTGGACGACGACAACTGCTTTACTTTTGTAGGGTCGGATTTGGCAAGTCTGCAAACAGAAGGTCTTGTGATTGTTATAACTGAAGTTGTACGAATTTGTGAGACTTTAACAGCATCTAAATCTAATTGATCGGCATTAGAGGTAGTTTGGCTCGTCTTAAAACCTTGTTGGTAATGGCGAACTTTCTTTTCTAACGTTGTGGAGTCTCTTGAATAATGATATCGGTTTCCACCTGTGAACTCGTGTTCTACGAATATAACGATTAAAAAGTTAATTGGATTCACAGCTTCTAATTTCTCAGAATTATGTCGTAAAGACACGACGATCGGTCAGGTTAGATCAGGTCTGACAAGGTCGTTAGGTTTGACCTAGGCTGACTTAATCTAATTTGAACAGGGACGCATCGAAAAATATACAGGTCAGGTCAGGTCAGGTCAGGTCAAGTCAGGTCGAGTCAGGTCAGGTCAGGTCAAGTCAGAGACCGATGGACCTGTTGAACAAAGTAGTGGAAGAAATTGGTTCTGGTATCAAAGGAATAGTAAGAGAGTTTTATTACGATACAAACTTTGGCGCCCATCGTGTCGCTTTTGGCGCACCGTTCCCGTTTGATCCCTGTTTCCCTTGACCGAGCTTGATTTTCTTTTGCCCGTATTTCTTTATTCCATAAATTTTTATCTTAGATGTGTTTCTCCAGCTTAGAGTACTCCCTTTCCAGAAGGGAAACTGGCGCCCGAGCAACCGCCCCGTAGAAGACGCCTTCCACGTGGTATGAAAATGACGTCATAAACAAGGCAATAAACCCAGTTTCATCACAGGAAAGTCAGAATCACATATAGACATAGACATAGCATCCGAAAAAATGAGTGACGAAGAAAATCTAAATTTTCATAAGATATTAATGATAATATAACTAGGAAAATGACAAGTCGAGAAAATCGGGAACAAGGAGAAAGATTGAACAACTACAAAGGAAGGAACAGAGAAATGCGTACAGACAATAAAGGCAAAGTCAACAAAGAAAAACAAAGGGAAGAGAGAAAAAGGAAGACGTTTACGACTGGGAGTGATGCAACGAAAAAGTAATAGAGGCCTGCAACAGATCATTTTTAATGAAAGGAGAAAGGAGAAAAAACAAAAATGAAGTATATTAGTGAACAGAAGAAATTGCCGTCCTGGGAAAAGAGCTAAGAAAAATAGAGAAAAAGTAGAAGAGGAAAAAGGACATTTCACGAAATTTTAATATGTCAGAAAAACCCTACATTGGACCACAGAAGGAGCTTTCTTTATAAAATAAAAAAATCAAATACCCAAGTCTGAAGTACTCATGTAGAGCGACGCAGCCCTGTACAGTATTATTTGATAAGATAAGACTGATTTTGGCAAATGACATACCCTTTAAGAAAATAGAGGGTGGGTGGGCGGGATTAGTACTTAATAAAAAATGAGTGATTTTGGCAGATGACATACCCTGTAATAAAATTAGGGTGGGTGGGCGGGGCTAGTATTTCATAAGATAAGACTGAATTTGGCAAATGACATATCATCTAAGAAAATAGAGGGTGGGTGGGCGGGGTTAGTACTTGATAAGGAAAGAGTGATTTTGGCAGATGACATACCCTGTAAGAAAATTAGGGTGGGTGGGCGGGATAGTATTTCATAAAATATTCTGACTTTGGCAAATGACATATCATCTAAGAAAATAGTGGGTGGGCGGGCGGGGCTAGTATTTATTAAGATAAGACTGATGTTAGCAAATGACACTCTCTAAGAAAGTAGAAGGTGGGTGGGCGGTGCTAGTACTTACTAAGGTAAGACTGATTTTGACAAATGGCATACCCTCTTCGGTCGGGTCCCTGGTAAAGTTAGCGCGTTTCTTCACTTCGCCTTTTACTTCTCGAGTGTAAGCTAAGAAAGTATAGTAGTCGAGTCCATCGGAAGAATGGCCACTTTTATATTTTCTCGACGTTTCATGACCCTTACAGTACGAAAAAAGTAGTCTACCGTTTCCGTTTGTCCGTCTGTCTGTCTGTCTGTATCCATATGTAATCTCCAAAACTGCTGGACCGATTGTTGTCAAATTTTGTATTTTAAAATGTATTGAATGTTACACAAAAATATACTCACATACTTAAATATACTATATATGAATACATTTTCACTTTTTTGTCGAAGCGTTTAAATTTTCTCAAAAAGATCTGGAAGGTATAATGGAGAGATGGCGACCCTGCGGTAATGCAACTGTGGGTTCGATGTCGAATTTGGTCGTTTCCTTTTTTCTACGGGACATTCTTTCGATGTATAAACATAAATAAACACTCGAGCTTCAGATTGCTTTTGCCAGCTGCTGAAGGACAAGGTGTGTTATTTATGCCTCTGGTTTTTACTTAACACATTAATCACAAAACGAAAATCGCAGAAACAAATTTTATAATTTTTTTAAAGAGCTGGATTTGTCGAATTATATTTATAGCTTTCGACCAATTGTTAGTTGATCAAATTAAGAACCCCATTTTTTAGCTTTGCTTATGCAGAGTCACTAAAAAATTAATGAATCGGTCAATTTATTTTACTGAATAAATCAAGAATTGCAAAATGAATAGTTTGAAATATTGCAGACGCTTTAAAGTTATCGTCAGCATGGTAAATTGTTAATCAAAATCTGCCTGTTTATACCTCCCAAAAAATTTACCTAATAAATGCTAAGTAAAATGTGCAAAATATGATGAGTTTTTATTTCTGATTTATCATTGGGTTCGTATTTTTTTGATTTGCTTAGACAAGTGGATCAAAAAAATGTATGAATAAGCCAGTTTAATTTACTGATTTAAATCAGGAACGGCTCACTCCATTTCACAGAAAATTTTGGAAATACACTACTGTCAATTGCTAACATCAGTCTTATCTTAATAAATACCAGCCCTGCCCGCCCACCCTCTCTTTTCTTAGATGATATGTCATTTGCCAAAGTCAGTCTTATCTAATGAAATACTTGCCCCGCCCACCCACCCAAATTTTCTTACAGGGTATGTCATCTGCCAAACTCAGTCTTTTCTTATCAAGCACTAGCCCCGCCCACCCACCCGCTATTTTCTTATGTTATTTGCCAAAATCAGTCTTACCCTATCAAATACAAACTCCGCCCACCCACTCTCTGTTTTCTTAGAAGGTATATCATGTGCCAAAATCACTATTTTCTTATAAAGTACTAGCCCCGTCCACCCACCCTAATTTTCTTACAGGGTATGTCATCTGCCAAAATCAGTCTTTTCCTATGAAGTACTAGCCCCACCCACCCACCCTCTATTTTCTTAAGTTATTTGCCAAAATCAGTCTTATCCTATCAAATGCAAACCCCGCCCACCCACTCTCTATTTTCTTAGAAGGTATGTCTCTGCCAAAATCACACTTTCCTTTTCAAATAATAGCCCCGCCAACCCACCCTCTATTTTCTTAGACGATATGTCATTTGCCAAAGTCAGTCTTACCTTATGAAATACTAGCCCCGCCCACCCACCCTAATTTTCTTACAGAATATGTCATCTGCCAAAATCACTCTTTTCTTATCAGTACTAGCCCCGCCCACCCACCCTTTATTTTCTTATAGGGTATGTTATTTGCCAAAATCAGTCTTATCCTATCAAATACAAACCCCGCCCACCTACTCTCTATTTTCTTAGAAGGTATGTCTCTGCCAAAATCACTCTTTTCATATCAAGTACTAGCCCCGCCCGCCCACCCTCTATTTTCTTAGATGATATATCATTTGCCAAAGTCAGTCTTATCTTATGAAATACTTGCCCCGCCCACCCACCCTAATTTTCTTATAGAGTATGTCATCTGCCAAAATCACTCTTTTCTTATCAAGTAGGAGCCCCGCACACCCACCCTAACTTTCTTACAGGGTATGTCATCTGCCAAAATCAGTCTTATCTTATCAAATACAAACCCCGCCCACCCACTCTCTATTTTCTTAGAACGTATGTCATCTGCCAAAATCACTCTTTTCTTATCAAGCACTAGCACCGCCCACCCACCCTCTATTTTCTTAGAGGGTTTGTTATTTGCCAAAATCTGTCTTATCCAATCAAATACAAACCCCGCCCACCCACCCTCTATTTTCTTTGCCAAAATCAGTCGTTTGCCAAAATCAGTCTTATCTTATCAAATATTATATAGAGAGCAAATCAAGTTAAGTTAGATCTGACAAGACCTAACCTGACAAGAACTGACCTGACAAAACCTGACCTAATCACCGTTCCTAGGTTAAAATTTTTAAAATGTTAAAACGTTAATAAAATTGTTGTGATATTATTTTATTTTATCATGCCAGTATTACTATAATTTCTAA